CCCTCGACACAAACATTGAAATTTACAAATACAATGTAGTGATCGCCTTTCCTGTTACATTCAGTCGTTGTGATGGATTGATTGGTAGGAATCAAAGTGATTACTGACTGTCTGTATTTATTTTTTTATCACTCAGCTGCCAAGAAGATAAGGAGGAGGCATTGAAAGTACTCAACGGACACAAATGGAAAGGACAAGTGCTGAAAGCCAAGGTATTCACAAAGTCAATTGTGGTTTTTACTATTGGCACTTGCTTCTGTTGGACTTGTCATTGGACTTAAATGAATAAGAACCCCTCAGCAATGGCTACCAGTGCAAGGGGTCTAGTGGCTGCTATTGCTGTGGTTACAGGTTCACGTTCCCACAATGACTTTTTTCCCGTAGCTCGCCAAGCCAGTTGAGGACCCGTACACTAAGAACCTCCCTCTGAAGAGAAGCCAAGAGGAATCTGATGGAAACACCCAAGAAGCTAAGAGGAGGAAGGAGGAGGACAGCTTACCAGTAGAAGAGAGGTGAAGACATTGAGATAGAATGCAGGGTTGGGCTGGATTCGAACCACCATCCATTAGAAATGTACTGCAGTTCTTAACTCGGATATCATGGATGTTGGTGCTATTTGGTTTGGGTCAAGTATTTTGTATTGACCCCAAATTTACCCAAACCCACTAGCACCCTGATATTGTGTCTGCCAAATCTCAAAAAGGATAGCAGTTGAACCATTCACTATTACTAAAATTTGTTAAGACTCTGAAATACTGAGCTCAATTTTTTCTTCCTTTTTCAATCTGCAGGTTAAACAACGCAGTGACTCCACTGTGGAACCAGCCGTATGAAAAACCAGCTATCCACCAAACAGACCAACACCAGGGAGTTTCTGAGGAATTTATCCAAGATGCTGCAACGGAACATTGGGGAGATATCTCCCTGGCTGAAGCAACAAAGGTGAGCTACTCACCAAAGACACGGGATGGTTGTGGGCCAGAATGGAAATGTGATCTTCCTTGACAAACTGCTTCCAGACACAGGCGACTAACATGTGCAGTTGCCCCGAAAAACTTGTTAAAGCTCCAGAAAATGTTGCCTATCTTTCTTAAGAATTATTTTAGATTAAAAAAAATAAATTTATCAAATTTTCTGAAGTAAAGTCCACACGCACAGCAAAATTCCCAAAGGTTTTGAAAAAAAGAAAAATAGAATAAAGCACCCCCCCCCCCTATGAAAAAAAAATAAAAATTTTAAACTCATAAGTTACCCAGGTGGGACTTGCACTGGAACCTCCTGCTTCCTAGTGCAGATGTCTTAACTACTTGACCACCAAGCTTGCTGGGACTGGCTGGCTGGTGGTTCCAATCTCGTCAATCGGTGGAGGAAGGGGGGAGTGGTGGGGGGGGGACAAATCCCCCCACCTTTTAAAGTGGGGGGATATCATATCGTTTGCCCCCCCCCCCCCCCCCCACACACACACACTTTTTGTAGCCTACATATGATTCTATAGCTCAGAATAGCTGATTCAATTCGAAAATGATGTTTAAATTATGATCTTTTGCTCAAAAATATTAGTGGTCAGAAATTGCCTCAGATCGCACCACAGGGCATCTAGAATCCCAAATCACGGCATAAACACCCGGTTGGGGATTTATCCCGCCCCTTGCGTGTTTTGACCAGAGTGGGGGGGGGGGGAGGAGGGATTTGCAATGGGATCATCACGTGTTGACAAAAAATGCTGATCATTTAATTCTTTGAAACATGACGTTGAAGTAGTTCTGAGAGAAGCAAAGAGCAATCATAGATAGCTAGAGCACCCTAGCCTCTGGTATTGGTGCACTAGTCAATAAATCATTAAGTTAAAAGTGCACATTGCCTAGAATGGACATGAAGTGTGTACACATGTGAGATGAGCATGTGATGTGCCTGTTATGATCACCGCAACAGAAAGTTTCTGGAATTTTCTTAGTTATTCCCCTTATTTCTTGTCATAAAAGATCAGGTCTTCATGAAACTTCGCTCTGGATAAATTGTACAAACATTTCAGTTTCGTGTCTTATTATTTTCATTGACAGATAACACTGTGGTTTTCGGCTTGGCGCTTACAAGGGTAAGTATTTCCTCTGAAGTTTCCTTTTTGTAAAAGACCTAGATCAGCTTTCATGTTTGATTGGATCGGCTGTCGAGGGGCGTGGCCTATTTAATAGTAGCTAATGCTGATCAACTCCAACCAATCAGAATGCAACACACAGAAAGATTGACAGGTGTTCATATAGTGCATTGTCTAATCTATCTGTCAGGATTTAATTATTGAAAAGAAAGAAACAAGCTATAAAAGACTTTTACACTTGTCTTCCCTTTCCTAACCAATTCATGTTGACTTACTTTTGTAACATGAATATTAAGTGTAAATTTGTACTTTCAACATTGACCAGCAAGCTTTATTACTCAATAGGGATTTTTCAACAATTACAAGCAAGATTTAGGTTCAAATTAGGTTTTGCCCTTCACCGACGTTTTTTTTTTTTTTAAACCACTGTATACTCAGTGTGTTACCTCCCGAGTGAAAGTTGGAAAAAATCACTCAGGTGGGACTCGAACCCACGACCTCCTGCTTTCTAGTGCAGATGTCTTACCACTCAACCACCGAGTTAACGGGATCGGTTGGCCAAAAAAAAAAAAATGTCATTGAAGGGCAAAACCTAATGTGAATAATATCACCCCGGCGCAAAAATTCCATCTAATAATAAGATTTAGGTTACAAAATTCAGGAAAATCACTGCTTATTTAAATGTTGCTAGCGTACATGCACATTTAATTTATCACTGATCTTGCTTTTACAAGCAAATTTGTTTGTCCTATAAAAGGATGTGACTTTTTAGAAACATGGTTTGCATCCTGCTGCCGGCCAACAAAACAAAGAATCAAATATTACTATGTATCAGAAAGACAAAAGAGCTCAAACACCCATTGGGTGATAGTACATTGCTGTATTAGGTGTGTTTAGAGTGTCAATTACATAGGGAAATAGCAGCTTTAATGAACATGTAGAAGCAGCAATTCCTTGGATACTGTCCAAATTAAGATACATGTATATGTACAATCTTGTCTGATGCTAACTTTACAAAGACATTCATATTTTATAGCATTGATTTTTCAATTGTCCAAATTTTAAGTAAACTTGAGTCCATCTGAAAGAATTGTAAAATATTGCTTTGCATTTAAACATCATACAGACATGGAGCTCATAATGTAATACAACAGACTTCTGGTGCTACATAGTCAATGTACAATTACAGAGCATGCAAGTCTCGCCAGTTCACATTCACTTTTCATGTAAACGTCTTGACACCAAACACTGACTAGTCTAGTCACAGATTTCCGTGTTTGAATTTGCCCAATAGTAATCGATTGAACGGAAGTCAACATTTTTTCAATTTATTATAGTAGACCTAATCAATTGGCATTGTTTTGAATGTGTTGAAAATTGGAATGATTCTTTTCTTTTTCAGAACCCATGGATTGCCCTTGACTGGATAAACCTAGTCAGAACACAAAACAATGCAAACAATAGGATGTTACACACGTTGTAGGTCCTTTAATATATGGTGCCATACTCGAATGTAGCGTTTTCACATAAAATCTTGAACTGAGGTTTTTTTCGATCAACTTACATGCTCTATTGACAGAAGTGGAGTACAAATTGCGGACTTCAACTTTATATATCAACTACATTTTTACAGCTACTTTACATGTAGAAGCTATGAAGAAAGCAGATTAAATCCCATACTGTACATCTAAAGCCTGCAATGGTCTCATAGGTGCTGTGCAGATAAAACATATATTTAATAGATTTTCCTTGATAATTGTTTTTGCAGAAACTTTGAACGAAAGGTCTGCACTTAATTTGGTCTTGAGAATATATTTTCCACGTTGTGCTACATATATGCACAAAGATTGGTATAACGTATTTGGAATCAGATGTTCCTAATGCATAACTTTGCAACTTGTGTTGTCTGTCACTTAGGCTGTCTGAAACAGGCTTCTAGAGCTATGGCTACGGCTATTGTCAGATTGTTCCCATGTAATTGTAATGGGTGAAGACCTAGACGGTAGCCATAGACATCTCACTTAAAAGCTCATATTAGACCTAACTATACCCAATGCTAAAAAATAGCAATTCAATTTTTTTTTTCTCTGATTGGAGTTTGTTTTTTAATCTGTTCATTTGTCTATCAGGTCTTGACCCACAAGATAACCATTCCACCAGCACCTCTGACGTACCGGTGACTGGCGCTGCCGTAACGGATCCTTATCACTATCTGACGCAACAGCACTTCACCTCAGTGATCTTCAAGATTGAGATCCAAACCTCCCAAGACATTTTTGATTTGCAGTGAGTTTTCTCCCTTAACATTGAACCCTCGATAGCGATAATCATACAGTTTGCACTTTTCAAGAGTTCATATTGCCAACCATGGTTGGGATTTTTCAACTCTTTTAAAATAGATTAACTGAATTAATAGTCCATGGAATGAATTTCCGCGAAACATGAAAAAATTATAAAATGGTAAACAGCTGCATACTTTTGCAATGCCTGTGCACTTTCACAATTGTTTCTTATGTTGCTGTGATGTCAATACAATTCAACTAGCAATGAACGTAATGCGATTTGTAATTTCTGAACCACTTGTATACATACATTGGATGAGTTCCAGCTGTTCCCTTCACTGATAGTTGGTTGCAATCTGCTCTGGGCCTGCACATTAATGATGTCATGGTGGGTACATTTATTGCCAATCCTCTAAAGTAAAACACATTTCAACTCCAGCATTTATGCTGTTAAAGTTTCTCGACGTCAAATCTATTTGGCTTTCCAATGAAGAAAATGTACAGTACAGGTATGAAAAGGCCTAAAACTGCTCTACAGTTGGAACATCCCAGAGCAGTTCAAAAGCACACATGTGCTCCCTGATCACTTGGACGTCTCACTCTCAATTACCAGAGAACTTTGCTCTTGACATCTTTCCAACGATTGACTCCCTTCTGGTTCTGGATGTGCATACTGCTGCCCTTGTGCTGATGGCTCGGTGCCAGTCAGCCCAGGACATTGTTCCTGAGTACTTGCAAGTGACTGCTGGCTCTCTGCTGGTTCTGGATGTACACACTGTTCCCCTTGCATGGATGGCTTGCAGTCAGTCAGACGAGAGCATTGTTCCTGATGAGAACTTGCAAGCGCTGGGGTCCCCACTGGCTCTGCATGTACCTCAACATGCACTTGAACATGCTGCTGACTGTGCATGGATGCCTTGCTGCTGCTTTGCCTGGAACATTTTTCTTGACAGCTGTCCAGTGACTGCTGACTCTCTGTGTGTTGTGCATACCCTTGGCTTGGTGGCTTGCTGCTGCTTGGCCTGGCAGCACGGTGCTCTTGGTCATTTTCTGCCTGTGGAATCACACGAAGCTCAATCTGCTTCCCTGGCTGCAATGGTCGGCTGGGATTCCGTCTTGGGCAGCAACGACAGCACAGTTTAAGGAATGAGAAAACCTCAACTACAGCTTCACGATACTCAGCATTTGTGGCACTGTAGACCAGTGAATTGATGGAGCTGTTGATCAATTGGAAGATTGCTATGCAAATGGTCAGAATATTTAATTTTTCCGCAAGTTTTATATATTCATCAAAAACCTGGAAAGGCACACCTGTACTTCTCTCCGTCGCAATGAAAATAATTGTAGCTGCAGTGAACAATGTGTTCAGAATGAAGAAAACAGCAGTATTGATGATAACCATACAGAGGACCTTGCCTGCTTGTTTGGGACGGTTTGGAAACAGGGCTGATTGCTTGCGTACTTT